ATATTAAGTATACTGTGTTTTCTAGTTTGACTCTTGTCAGGCTACAGTAAAATACTGCAAGTTGGTATTTACAGCCCTAGTTATGTTAGACATGTAAGATGTTGCTGCTGAAAACTGTATCTGGATTTGCCTTTATTGCCAGCTTTAGTTAAGTTTTACTGCAGGGGATCCAGTTTTTTCACCCTCATGGTGTCACTTGAGGATCTCCTTTAAGTCAGTTAACTTTTGATTTCCTGCTGCTGAGTAGCACAGATAGAATATAGATCTTGTATTTGTACTGCTGTGCAGGTGATACTGTGTTTTATTTTTCTGTTATTGACTATGACTTACAAAATATTAGACATCAGAATGTCACATTAGTTATACGAATCTTCAAACCAGACAAGGTGGAGGCTTGAGTTGCAGTAACAATAAATGTATGCTAATTTAATCTTCTTTGAAAATGAAATATTTTTTCCCTCTGGATATGAAAAACTTCAGGTTTCTCCCTAGGAAGAAATTCCTTGTCATTAGATATATCTTTACATTTACTGGATACATAATTACCTTTACTGCTGTGTAGGCAAATCACAGTAAGTAGTTTGTTCTGGAGTTTAAAATATTGGGAGTACTAGAATGTTCTTTGAATATCAAGTTTCTTTATAAATGTTTATGCTTTGATCTCTCTGAATACTTCAGAAAACATACACTACACATTTGTGATCTGGCCCCCAAGAGTAATGCTGCAAGGAAGATAGCACATATATTTTGTTTATTTTTAGTTCAAATGACATAGTTTGTTTCTTAAGAATTTTAGTCTTTAATACTCTGTGATAGTGCAAGTTTTGGTCTGTCTGCATGCATTTAATCTTCAAATAACTTTGGTAAATCATAAGATCTGAAAGTGTGGTGGACTTTAGGTTCTGATGTGTCCTGCAGGTTGGTTTGGTGGGTTTTTACTGGAAAGATTTCTTAGACAGTTCTTCGGAAATTTTGTAGAAATGCACAGCAGTTTGTTGATAGCAGTTCACTTGGTGCACTGTACCTGCAGAGCATCCCCTATGAGCAGATATCTGCCCACCATTAGAAGAGAAAACTTATAATGCTCAGATCCTGAGTTCTAGCTTTGTGAAGGCAAAAACAGCCTTTTCTTGAATTTTTTTCTTCCCATGCTTTGAAGTTGTTCATCTGGAAGAGAGCTTGTTACCAGAGTAAGAGCATTTGGTGCTCATCAGGTTTCTTCAGGAGTTTTTGGCAGTACAAGATTCCAGGCTCTTCTCTGTACAGTGTGCTTACCTCCAAAACTTCCTATGCACTATGTTTTAAAATACTGTATATCAAGTACAGGAACATGTTGTGGGATTTAACAGAGGCTCAGTGTCTTTAGTTTATTGTGTTTGGCTTTTAATAGCTTCTGTGGGTTGCTAGCAATTCATACAGCTTTTTATATTTAGTACCTTGGAGCTTTGTTTTAAAACACTGTTTGGATAATGCTTTCTCAACTGTCAGGTCTATTTGCATACATAAAATTTATACTCTGAAAGTGTTAAAATGACCTAGAATGAAAATTATCCAGCCATTTTAGAATGGAAAAAGTTTTATCTATCAGATGGCTTTGTTTTGAAATACTAATTACATTTAGGCTTTTATGACTTCTCCTTATAGAGATATATTTTGCTTGTAGTCTGCCTAAAACTAACTTTAGAGGCACAGTTTGATACTGAAATACAGTGATCCCCATGCTGTGTGTTGGCTGTCAGGAGCTCCATCCCTGCTCCTCTGGCCAGCCAAAGGCTCGCAGTAAAGCCAGATTGAGCAGAACTGCTCCTTGATTATGCCCTGGGGAGCAGCAGTTACAACTGGAGCTGGGCTTCTCCATGCTGAAGTACATGGAAGTGCTTTTACAGGAGCTTCCAGCTAGAGCATCATTGCAGATGAGCGAGAGCACATGGAAGCTGCATTGTAGGGGATCAAGTATTGTGCTCTGTTTTCATGAAGTGCTGTAAATACAGACTTCTGGTTTTGGATCTTCATAGTGTAAAGCATATTTCTGAAAATGGAATGTCCCTAAAGATCACTCAGGATTTTGATGGTAAATCCTAGAGAAGTAAAAGTGTAAAGGCCTAAAAGGGTGGGGAAAACCTCTGGTTTCTTTAAATGACTGTGTGAAAATTTCCTGCTTATGTTTATTTAAAAAATAAACAAATCCAGAACAAAAGAGGCTCAGCTGCATTATCACTTCAGCGTTAATAGAATTCAAAACAGATCCTTTTCAGCCATTAATTTTACATGCTTATGGTACTGTACTGTTATTTTGGAACACTTCAAGTAACTGCACAGCAATTTTAAATTTATTTTAACATAAACCATGAAAAGTCTGGTTAAGAACAGCCATGTATCAGTGGCTTCAATCAGTTCTGTGTATCTTAAGAAAAATAGGCATTTATTTTAAAAAGATGAGTTTTATGTGGACTGAAAAACTGTATAAAACTATTTCATAGTGTAGATTTTTAATGCAGTGTTAACAATTGTTAAAATGTATGAAAAAATATTATTTAACTAGGCAAAGTAATTTGACAGTATTACCAAGAACATTATTTAATGTATCCTCTAATATACACATTGGGTCAAAACATTTGCTTTTGCATTTTTTTTCTGAAATTCTGTTTGCACATTTTGGGGTTGAGGAGTAACTTCTAAAATTACCCATCCTTGATACTCCTTCATAATGAATTGTTTGGTAAAAATGAAATTATTTCATCTGAGTCATTGGTTCCCAAAGTACACAGTTGTTTGGGGTTGTCTAGATTTTTGCTGATTAGGAGATTTTGCATAAATGAGCAAATGTTTAGTTTCTATTTTTAGGATTGTATTGCAGATAACTTTATTGTTTCAAAGACTTGTGCAATATTTGCATATCAGTGCAGCATTGTGGAGCTGTTGGGTAGTAGCATGAAAGTCTTGCCTGTTTCTTCATCAGATTTGAAAGTGTGCAGTGACAGAACCATTTTTTATTTGCAAAGCCTGTTTTCACTTTTAGTCTGTTTTCATGATTGCATACTCACGTGTCAGTGTTGGTCTGATCATGCTGTTCAGAAATCTGCAAGATATTTCTAATTTAAAATTACCTGTAATGCTGCGGGTATCCTAGATATTAACCCTTGCCATTTACCCTTCTATGACAGTGTTTAAGTCATTTCACTTAATCTGGCCTTTGTGCTAGTGCTTTTCTTTGCTCAAATTCTTGGTGTCTGGTTCTATTTAAGATAGTGAGAGTAAAAGCATCAGGAATCAAAATGTATTCTGGCTCAGCCCGTATGCTGAGCGGGAGTGCTGTTCCCATGGCAACACACAGGACAGTGAGGGGGAAGGCTGATGCCTTTTCCTCCCATTCGGAGAGTTTACAGATCCAAACAATTACTCTTAGCAAGATTCACTTAAAAATCAGTGTTTATAGGAGAGGAGCAAGTAATGTTAATGCAAATTGGTAGTATGCATCCATATTTTTCTTGTGATGGTTTGTTTCTTTGATCATGGAGGTTCATTAGTGCAAAACACAGCTTTTGGCAAATGCTAGAAAAACGTGCTAACTATAGCAGCAGTGATGTTGGACATGTTAAATGCAGGGTGTTGTGACGTTGTGACGTTCGATGGTGCTGCCAGTGCTGCTGGACAAAACCTTGCTATACCCTTTAATGTAAGCTGCCTTCCTCTGGGAGGCTGCATTGTTAAATATAGTTGACATTTCCCTGGGAGCAAGTACTGAATTAGCAAAGGGTAAACAGTTAACCATTCCAGAGATGATGAAGTTTTGCAATATATATATATTTTTAACAAATGGCAGGTTTTAGAGCAGGTAATATGCTAAATTGGTTTTTCATTACTGTAGTGCAGCTGTGTCTCAGCCTCGCCCATTTTATTCATTATAGGAACCATAGGCTGGATGTTTTCTGTGCTAAGCTTATAGATAAATCCTTCTTCCCTAAGTGGGTGGGGAAAACATGATGTTCTACTGTTGGAATATGTTGGGGTTCTTTTAAGGCACAGTATTTTAAATTGAGACTGTTTAGTCACTAGGCATGAATTTCTTTCATGATTAAAAATACACAAACCTGAAATTATAGGAAAGAGGAGTGCAAGCCCTCTTTCTGAATATTGTCTGCCTGTCTAATTTTTCAAACGAAGGATTGGAATAGTGGCAAATACCATGTGTGGGAATGAATTTATTTGCATGGAGAATTTTCACCTTTTCCTCTGGCGTTGGCTCCCAGAAGATGATGTCACCTTGCAGCTCATTGGTTGTGCAGCACCTAGTGCAGGGAAGAGAGAGAAAGATGCCGGCACAAATCTCAGTGGTGGATCTTGGGTGTTTGCGAGCAGATTTTGATAAAATCTTTGATTGGTATTAAGAATTTACTGCATGTGGCCATGTGAGGTGCTGGGTCCGTGCTAGGGCGAGGGGATTGAAGAGCTATCAGAGGAATGAGGCGGCTGATCTGCAAGAGGATCTGTGATTGTAAGTTGAAAAATCTGGGTGGAAGGAAGGAGACAGGGAGTGCTAGTTAGACACATTGTGGGAGGATGTGTAGCAGAAAATGCATGCATGAGTGAAAGAAGGAAAAGGAGAAGCATTTTTCTTCGGTAGACTGCAATGATAAAAATTATATTAAGGGCTTTCCTTTTGGGAAAATATTAAGAAATGATTAAAAAAATTCGGTCTGTGCAAAGATGTTTTTCCTTTGTGGGAGTGGATGTGCAGGATTCATTTTTTTATGCTTAGTTCTACTGTGGTTAATTATGAAGCAAAAATAATATTTTATAAGAATGTGAAATGTGGAAAATGCTGTTTATCTCCCATTGTCATTTTATGCCTAGATCAGAGACAGCACAAACTGATAAATACTTGTTTTTATTTATGCATTTTGTGAATTTCTGTGAAATGTGAAGGAAAATAGTTTGTTAGGAAATGAAAATATGTCCATTCTAACTGCTCTGTTTTTATTTAACATATCTTTTCTTAGACAAAAGCTTTGATGATGAAGAGTCAGTGGATGGAAATAGGCCATCATCAGCTGCTTCAGCCTTCAAGGTTCCGGCACCTAAAAAGCCAGGAAATCCTTCAAACAGTGCAAGAAAGCCGGGATCAGCTGGTGGGCCTAAGGTTGGAGGTAATGTAAAGCTATTCAGATTCTAATCAGTGTTCCCAGAAACCTTGCCAGAGAGGCACAAAACAGAGAACTTTGCAAGGTGATGTTTAATTCATGACTGCAGTATTTTTGCAGAGCTGAGAACAGTAAGGGACCCTGTTTTATGTAATTATTCATCTGGAAAGGTGTGTGCATATCTGTCTGTTTTTGTGAGTGTACACTGAGCTTATAAAGGTCTCTTGTATTATAAATAAAATTAATGTCTGGAGATAGCATTTATGTTGGTGAATGGAAAAAAATACATATATTTATATGCATATATATGAATGGGTGTCTCTGCTGGAATCCACACTGCACTTATTGTATGCATAAATATCCTGTGAAATTCTGGAGAAGGTCTGTGTAGATAAAATTTTTACTGTAGGTCTGCACTGCTTCACGTGGCTAGAAAGGATTAGCCATCACCCAGAGCCCTCATCAGAGGTGTGTGTTACATCTGGATGACTTTTATTATTATTCTTTTAACTATCAGTATTGTGAAATTGGTTGTGAAAGATAAAAAATTAGGGCCAAAACCCTTGGCAGGAATTTTTTGCATGGTGTAGCTCTAAAGCAGTGTATGAGGAATGCTTAGTAATTATGATCTTAGAACAGGGAAATCCGCATTTTTTTAGGGCGGGGGTAGCCTAACAAAAGCAACTGTTTACTGTTAAAGAAGTGGCTGCTTTTTTGATGGTTCATGTACATATTAAAAAAAAATACATAATTCTGTGGAGATACACCATGCTTCTGGTACAGGGGTTTTATGAATAAGTGATTCTTTTAGTAAGGGGTTTTTATAAGAGTAATTTTTCCATGTTCCTGTTCATGTAATCTCATATGTGATCTGCAAAGCAAATATAGAATTTGGAAGAAAATCTGCATGGCTAATAAGCTGCCTTAAGTATTTTCGCATTACTAAGATACAGCTGATGTTTTGAAAATTTATTGCTTTTCAATAGTAATCTTAAGAATTCCTAATAAATTGAAAAGATTTCCATAGGACTGCATCAACACTGTCATAGTGTGGCTGAGAATTGATAGGAATATATATCAGAATAGTATCAGAAAATACCACCTAAAACACTCCATAAAGGAAATTATCTCATTGATATTTATTATTGTTGTTGTTACTGCACATAGTAAGTGTTATTAATGAGTAAATATAAATCAATAACTAATTATAATGTAATTTCTTTAACCTTAGGCATGGTGGGTTTTGCATGCAAGGCTAATAATATGTGTAGTACCAGAACTGAATGCTTAGGATTCCTGTTTATTTCAATATGGGCTTTTAATAATATTTTACTAAATACAGATGGTTTTTAATTTTTTTTTACATGTAGGCTTTCACTTTTCATGCTCTGCAGTAAAAACATGGAGATACAAGGTGAAGGGAGATAAGAACAGAATAACCACTCAATGATTTTTCAGTTTATCTAAAAATACAGTAGTAAAGCAGTTTAAAACCCCAAAAAATAGTACATTGTTTTTTCTCTTTTTCCTATATTGCCAAACTTAAATTAAAATTAAGCATGTCAAAACCAGAGTACTTTGGTCATTCCTTGCTTTATACCATCTCCTTTCAACTGAGGAAAATATTGGGGTGTGTTTACATACCAATCTATTTCCCTTCTTTTTTCATTCTGTAGGATGTCTGTAGTCAGAATTTTAATACATTATTTACAAATCCTGCATCTCCTAGCCTAATCAAGAACATTAGTGTAGATGCCAAATGTATTTCTTTAACAATAAGGTCATAGTCTCTAGCAGAAGTGAGGAGTTTCCTGTAATAATCTCCATATGAACAATGACATGAGGTCAGACTAGAGGCCTGGGCAGCCCACACTCCCATCTGACAGTGGTCAGAAACGACTGCCTGAGACATGGGCAACAACAGGAGAAGTGTCTAGAGGCACACTGTCATTATGGGACAAAATGCTGCTTTTAGAAACCTTTACTCCACAGAGAGCCATGGTCTTTGGAGAGCCCAGTTAGGTCATCCTGTTCTGTTTATCCTAGAGACTTCCTGGATCTTTATGGCTACAACAAATCCTTGATGGTCTTTCACATCCAGTTTCTGTAGGATCTACTTTGCAGGTGCCTAAAGTACACCTGAGATTTTTCTCCAGCCTCAAAATTGCCATCTCCATGGATTTCATTTATAGTTCTGGAAGTTGTTTGCTCTTGCTGATGTAGTAAGAATCTGCTGTATCCTCCAGTCCCACATCCTTGTGCTCACCAAGTCAGTAGTCAGTGGGCGTGCCATTTCTCACCGTTTCCTCATGAGCACTGGATGGGTATTTCAGGCTTTCACTGCTCACCTCGTGCTTCTGCCACCTGTTGGTCCTGCTTGTCCCTTTTCTCTGACTCTCAAATATCCATTAATCCATCTTCAGAAGTTGCAATTCGGCTTTGGAGGAAGAGCAAGGAGCAGCTCCTTTAACTGTGTTGCTTTTTATTTCCCTTCCACAAAAATCTCCAATCATGGAAGTGACCTGCAGTTGAAGCAAGTTTTTACTGCAGTTTCTCTGCTTCAGCCTTCTGTGACCAGGCAGAATTTAGTACAGATAGAAATTGTGTTGAGCAAAGGCTGAGATTACTGCAAGTTCCATTCAATTAAACTGCCTTTTATATTTTAAAGGATCCCAGAGATCCTTGTCATAGGATGTTGCTTGAAAAAGGAGTATTTTCTAATGAGTTGTAGGTGGCAAAGTAGTTTTTTTCCCTGGGTCCAGAAAGGGTTTGAGGCTACCCTGTCTTGAGGCTAAGAAGATTGAACTCCTTAGCCATGCCTCTGGCTTTCTTGCCTGCTGACACCTGCTGAATTATACCTCAGATGCCTGTGAGCTTGGCTTTTCATTATATATGTCATGGAGATGGTTCTTAAGGAAGAAATGGGTAATTACACCACTGCCCAGATATGCTGTTCAAGTGAAAGGACCCATCTGATATTAAAAAAAAAATAAATTTCTCACTGTTTTGGGCATTTTCCTTTTAATGTAGGAAATGTACTTTGGTGGCACTGGAAGTGCAACATCATTCTCCAGGAAGGCAGGTAAAACAGGTCTTATGTGAGCAATAGCAGAGTCCTACTCAGCCTGGAATTCTCTCTCCTTGTGCTGGGAATGACTGTGCCAGACATTTTCCTCTTAGCACTTGAGATGGGAAGGTTTGTAGAACTTGTGGATTTGCTGACAGGCATGATCAAGCTTGCTGAAGACAGCTTGCCAAAAAAGTACCAGATCAGGCAGCCAGAGTGGTTTCCTGCCCTGGGAGTAAAGAATCCAGCAGGCTGTTTCTCCTCTGGCTTTTCTGCTTGGAGATGTTCAGATACTGAGCTTCTTGTTAGTGATGAATGAGAAGTGATAGGTCTTCCACTTAATGGGGCAGTGCTTTGTTTGGCATATTTCTTATTCCATGGTCGATACACTTTGCCAAGTTAGACCTTTGCCAGCAAGCACACAGCTGATCTACTTACTTCTGATACACTTGCTCTCAGCTCTTCATTCAGGTGGTAGAGCCTCTGCAAATACCTCTTTGCTCTAAAGCCTTCTTATTACTGAGGATGTGTGCTCTGTGTCCTGCCCTTGCAGAAATTGGATACTCAGGGGCTTTTTCTTGGCAGTATGGCTCAAGAAGCTTTTTAATGGTAAGGAAGACCATAATTTACAGTAGAAAAGGGCTTGAGTTCATGTCAGCCAAATGAGCTATATTCCTCTCCCTGTGGTGTTCAAGATCTCTCATAGGTCTTTGGCAAGTTCTCTTGTAAATTTGAAAGCCCTGTTCCAAGTCTTCTAGGGAATTGCCTGCTTGTATACCATTTGGAAGCTTTATGTAATCTAAGTGTGGGTAGCAAACCTCAGGCTGCCTTAACAAGAAGTCTGGCATCCTCTCTTTTCCCAAAATGTCAGTTTAGGTCAGTAGCCTTCAAAATGGGTTAAATGTACAAATGATGATTCCTCAAGAGAGCCATGTGGCCTTTGGAAGAAATGCTTGCTGATGAAATATAATCATGACAGAAATTTCTGTTAACTTTCTTTTGAATTTTTTTACAAAAACCTCTGTGGGGCTGGAGCATTAGTCTTAGTGCTGTAATTTGAAACAAGATGGACTTCATACATATCACAGCATTTTCAGCAGGAAGATACTGCATGGTATAATTTTTATCTGTATTTCATTGAGGGTTTTTTAATCTTTAATGCATTGGCGGGCTGGCAATATTATATATTGGTTTTTGCTTTACACTCTCATTATTGTATCTGTCATTATGCCTTTTTCCCCTTCTTAATAAGACATACAGGTCTTTGTTGAAAAGTATTAACATGGTGCTTATTTGCTTTTTTGGCTTGATTTTATAGCAGAAGGCATTTTGAAGCCTTTAGAGGCTTTAGTAGGACAAAGTTTAAATGAAAAGGCCCTGCATAAAGCAAGTGTGAGACTGAAAGGTAGTTGAAGTTAACCTCATTAGAACTAGGTGCTGTACTTAAGAAACATTTGTGTTGGAAGTGCTTCTGTAATTGTGGAACTGTAAATACACAAGGTTAGTGAATGGACTTGGAACAAGATAGACTCATGTTCACTGTATCGATTGTCTCCAGACTCAAGAGAGTTCTGTATTCACTTGTACAAAAACCAGAAGAATTCATAATAATCAATGCCCACAAGTTTTTGGTTTTTTAATTTTGAATTCTGAAGTCCATGAATATCTCCTCTGTTATTCTTGTTAGCCCTCATTAAGCGATTTCCAAAGTGCTCTCTTTGTTGTTTAAAATAAACTAGGATTCTTTTGGTTTTCCTTGTTCTACCTGGCCCTTTGTATGATGTAAAGCTGCTCTGAGGTAATACTAGTCAGCAAAGCACCCCAGCATTCTATGGCACTTTGTTTCCTTTTTGATTTCTGGGTGGTGGTGAAATTCAAGGATTTTTCTTCAACATCCCAGCTAAAGACTTTTTGTCATTCTGAGCAGCCTTAGAGATTA